GCAGAGAATTTGTTCTGAGGCTACTCCTTGGATGAAAGCATTATGCCTTTATATTTTATCCCCAAACCCCTGGCACAGAACACCACTTCAGCAGAGAGCCATAGAAAGAAAAAAATGTGTGCTAAGTATTGGAAATCAAGGTGTGTAGGACCTTGGATTCAATGACAACACCTTCACCCACGATCCAGCAGCTCCCTGGTAGAGTTTTCAGGCCACAGCAGAAATCACTGTAATCTCTCCCGGATTACACTCACCTGGCAAAGCAGTAACCTGGCTACACCCAAGGAGTCGCATCTCTAGGCTGAATGGGGCTGGAGAAAATGGCTGTGCTGGCCATCTCCTCTGAGCCAATCCCGTGCTCTAGCTCCAGCCTGTCTCTTCTCCCATCACCATTTCTCTCTCTCTTGGAAATCATCCCCAACACTATTTAGAGGGGCTCTCATGCTCCCCAAGAAACTCAAACCTTCCCTCCACAGTGCTCCTTCTGGGTCCCTCACACCAAACCCCTCCCTCATCCGCATGCTGTTTCCTCCAGCGCCAGCCCCTGTGACCCTCAAGCCACCCACCCTGCCTTCTTCCACCTGCACACACTGACACTGCTCTCAGAGAGGCCCACGCATCCAGCTGTCAAGGCCAGGGGTCTATTTCCTGTTCTTTCTCCACCTGTCTCTAGGCACCTACCTCTTAATAGCTCCTGGCTTCAAACATCTTCTTCTGGCTTCAATGGCCAGATTCTCCCCTTGCTCCCCAGCTTCAGCAACTGCTCCTTTTGGGTGTCCTTTCCAGCCTCCTCTGCAGTCCAGATTTTCCCGTGGGTCCCTCCTCTTCCTTCTGATCTGCCCTCTCTCTCCCCCAACTGACCCCCACCAGGCCAGTGTCTGCAATACCATGTACAGGCCAATGATCCCAAGCTGTCTCTCCACTCTGACTGGGCCACCCCCAGGCCTGCAGGACCCAGCAGGTCTTCTGTCCCCCATCCAATCTTTCCCTTCCTGCAGGCCAGGCTCAACTCCTCACTTCTCCAAGAACTCCGAGGACTCCAGAGCCACACAGAGCTCTCCCCCTTCAGGCCTTCTAGAACACTGAGCCAGTCTGCGGTGCAGGATTTACTCCTTAATTACACACAGTCTTTAATTGGTCCCTAAATGTCTGCTTCCTATTGTGTAAATCCTTTCTCCACAAGGAGGTTTAGGTTTCTGAACAATACCAGCATTCCTTTTCTTGTTCTTGGTACTGGCCATGATGGAGAAGTAGAAACAATGAGCAGCTTTCTGACAGCAAACCAACCTAATATTTTATAGAGTCAAAACTAAAACCCATGCACTGTCAAACAGAAAAACCTGGACTTCAGCGGGCACAGGGGCACACACCTGTAATCTCAGTGACATAGGAGGCTGAGGCAGGAGGATTCTGAGTTCAAAGCCAGCCTCAGCAACTTAGTGAAATCCTGTCTCTAAATAAAATATTTTTAAAAGGGCTGGGGATATGACTTCGTGATTAAGCACCTCTTGGGTTCAATCCTTAGTACCAAAAAAATAAAAATAACGTAGACTCTTCACCCTTAACTCTTCACCCTTAAGCTTCTTGAAAAACCACATTTTTTTTAATAATTCTCTTTGTCTAGAATCACCAGGTAGCAATGATGAAGACAGTTAGAAAAGTAGGACAAAATCCGTAAGATTTTCTGTCAATGAACTCCTCAGAAATTTTTAAACTGAAAATATTAAGCAACATTTCCTATAAAACAGGAATATAGTAAATAATTTGTATTTCTTGCAAAAACATTAAATTCAGGTAAATTTTTATTGAAAAAAAAAAACAACAATTTAATCCTTCAATACAAGTTTACAAGAGAGAGGAGAACAAACATGGTCCAGCCAAGGATTTCTGCCAGACTTTTCTTGGTAAACCGGGCTAAGGAGGTAGAAAGGAGTGTGGTTCACAGAGACAGTTGAAAGTCTATGACAAGCCCACTTCACCAACCAAATAGAAAAAGTCTTATTTTCATTACTTTAAAAAAAAAAAAATGATCCAATCTGACCCCCTTCCAACCCCTGCCAATTGCCAATTAATTAATCTCCCTCTCTGCAGCCACATCATAACTCACTGAAAACCCCTGACCAAACCTAAGGGATTAACTCAAACCCAGGAGCCGGTCCACCCATACACTGGCCCCTACAGCCTCTGCTCTGGCCATCCCTCTGCCCTTGACATTCTAACAGCAGCAATCACACAGCATGTACCCGAATACTGTCCTCAGCAAGTCTGAGCATGCTGGGGTCTCCTCCCTCCAACTTGCTCACTTCCAGTTCTGGTCCCCTAGCTATTTTCTTCAGTTATCTTTCTCGTTTTTCCAGAATTGGCCCATGATCCTTCGATCCTCAATCTCACCAACTATACTCCAAGAAGTACCATTATCCTTTCCCTGGATTCTTTTTGCTTCTGCACCCCAATAACAGAGCAGTACCATGCTGTTCTGAGATTTATGCATGAATTTTCCTCTCCAAATACCTGCAAGTTCCTGTAGAACAAAGATCATGCTTCTTTTCTTTGTGCTAGGGATCAAACCTAGGGTACTGAGAATGTGAGGAGACCTCTAACTTGAGCTACATCCCCATCACAATCACGTTCTCCTTTCTTTCCTGAGTTACACAGTGTCTCCCCAAAAGACATGTCCAAGTCCTAACCCCAATACCTTCAATGTGACTTTATTTGGAAATAGGGACTTTGTAGGTACAAGTAAGAAAAGGGTCTTGAGAGGACATCATCCTGGACTTAAGAGTGGACCCTAAATTCAGTGACTGCTGATCTTATGAGTGAAGAGAATCTGAGACTCAAAGAGACTGGAGCTGGCTGCCACAAACTCAAGAACATTAGAAGATGAAAGGAGTAAGGAAGGATCCTTCCCTAACTTCTTCAGAGTGAGTACGGCCCAGCTGACACCTTGATTTTGGACTCTGGACTCTAGATTTGTGGGGAAAATAAATGTGTTATTTCAAGCAACCAAGTATGAAGTAATTTGCAGCAGCCTAAGAAATCTCTCTCTCACTCTCACACACACACACACACACACACACACACATTCCAAAGCTTAACATGCCAGCTTCTACCAAGGAGCCTCCCAATCAAAACTGCGTTGAACTAAGACAGATGAAAAGCAAGAGGGAAAGATGAGAACATATCTGAACTGCAGAGCAAGAATCTGAGACATGGACCCAGATACCAAATCATCACTACTCTTGGACATGTCACTTATCCACAGTTGACTCCTTGCCTAATAAAATAAGGGAACTGATCCCTAAGACCTTCTACCAGGTCTGAAATAGCTTAAACACACTTTACCCAAAACATCAGTTTAAACTGATCCTTAAATAAATTACTTCTTCCCACTCACAAAAATAAATTTTGTTAATTTTACTTTCATCCAAAGGGCTTTCAGGTACCAAAACAAATGTTGGATAAAAATGGTATTTCAACTCCTGAAAATTTTAGTAAAATAATTTAGTGATTAATATGGCCAAAAGTGATTTTCTACAATATCACCTACTTTTTTTCTGCAAAGCAAAATCAACAATTTAGAAGAAGTTGATCAAATCCAGCTGGTATCGTTGACATTTCAGAAAAACCGGACCCAAACATGAATCAACTTAAGCACCACTCACTGACCCAGAACCTAAATGTTTACAATGTCATTGCTTGGTGACTAATTTTTGCAGAGTAACAAGGGACTTCTCAAACACTGGGGTTTTCTACAGTAGATTCAAAATGTAATTAAGGTCCCATACCCAAAATTTCCACTTCAAAGCATCTAGCCAAGTAGTAAATAAACACAACTGCTGCCACCACCAAATGGCAAAGTTTTGGCAGAGGAGTCAAACAAACAACAACAAAAAAAACTGTTTTACCTATCTTTTTGCCTCTATATATATATGCACAGTTTTTTCCCCCGGTGTCACAGCCTTCCCTGGTATACCTGTATATCCCGCAGAGGAATTTGGGTTAAATTAAAAAACATATTTTGGGTTTTTTTCATAGAAGATGCTGTGGCCTTTGCCTTCATGTTTTTAGTGGAAGCCTTCTTTTTTAGGAAACCAACCAAAACAACATAGAGGAAAACGGAGCCAAGGGACTCATATTTCAGTCTGACAAAATATCCATTAGAAACACTTAGACTTAAACTTTTCCAAACCAATTTATCATTCAGAAAACACAGTCTGGAGTCACTGGAGCCAACGATTCAGCTAGAACTGGCAGAACTATGCCTTCAAAAACCTGGACCTTGAATCCTAACACAAAGTGAGTTACCAAAATTTTTCCTTCCAGGTGGTGACTCAATCCGAAAATCACAGTGGAGTTGGAGGGCTCCACAAAGCAGTTTTAATTCTGTAGTTCCTGGCTTTTCAAGATGATTTCTCACAGAAATGAAAATGGGACTGGAAAGTGGGTGCATGTTTGCAGCCCTTAATCACAAGTCTACCTCAAAAGGTGCTCTTTAACTGCAAGAAAATTAGGGCAGCAAAGGGTAAGGGAAGTCTCTGGGTCTGGGGAGTACACAAGGGCGTTCAAAGTTCTTGTACTCTGCAAACTCAACTACCTAGATGTAACTTAATCTTCATGGAGGCAGGACGAATTCTTGTAAGCCAGCGCTGTTTTCTAGAAGTCTAAAACCAGGATGAATGAGCTTTAACTGTGCCGACTGCATGTTTACTTGCATCCTCACGTGGCAAGGCGCAGCCACACAAGCGCAGCGCCCAGGAGCCCGAAAACTTTACTTTGCAAACTAGCAGAGCCCAGGAGGCGGCTCGGAAGCAGACTGCCTCGCCTTGCCCCAAAGTGCACCCACGCCAAGTAGCCTTCCCCCGGCACCACCCGATGCCCGCAGCTCCATTCACACAAAGGCGCGTGGATGCCGGCAGGACCCTTCTCCAAAGTTAAGTAGCGAGAAGCCGGGAGACAAGAGAGAGGGAGGAAGAGGACCCGGGGGCCCGCAGGCTACTCACAGGGTGACCGTGCGGTTGGGCAGCGTGTCCGGGGGCAGGACCTGCGCGAGCTCCAGGCTGCTGCACACCACCTTGCCCTCGGCGGCGCCCGCCGCCCTGCCGGTCCCTCGGGGCCGCCCGTCGTGCTTGCAGCCCGGGGGCAGCGCCGCGGCCCCGCCGCCGCCTCCCAGCACTGCGAGCAGCGCGAGCGGCAGCAGCAGCGGCGGCGGCGCGCGGCCCCGCGGGCGCCCGGGCGGCTCCATGCTGCGGGCCGGGGCCTGAGGCCGAGCGGCGGCGCACTGGCCTAGCGGGTGGCTCCTGGGTGAGGGCGGACAGGGGCGCGGTGCGGGCCCGGCGGCGCCCGGAGCCTCGTGGCGGCCGCAGGACTGGCCCTCCGCGGCGCCGACATGCTCCTTTGTCCGCTGCGGCCGCGCTCGGCCTCGGGGGAGCCGCAGGGTCACGACCGCCGGGTCCCAGCGCCGCTCTACGGCCCGGCAGGAGCGCCGCCCCCTCCCTGCCGCCTCCCCCGGCCCGCGGCGGCTCCTCCCCGCCCCGCCCCCGCCCCTCCGCCGACGCCGCTCAGGCCCTGGGCTCGCCCACCGCTGCCCGCCGCTCGCGGAGGAGGCGCGCTGCGGACTCGGGGGCCAGACCAGACCCGACCCGACCCGACCCGATGCGCGCCTGGAAGCGGGAGTTTGGGGTCCCACGGAGGACAGTAACTCGTGCAGGGCGTGGAACAAAGTTCTAGTCGAAACTCCAGCCGTGGTGGCTGCCCTCCCGCAGGTTTCTCTTCGCCGTCGCCTTCCAGACAAAGCCGCGCTTTGCGCCCCTGGGACCGCCCGGGGCGCCCGAGGAACCCAGCCCTGAGGATGGAGCCTGAGGCTGCTAGAGAGCTGAGATTCCTTTCCAGGACCCGAGGGTGAAAGCACCCCAAACCAAGTATCAAGAAAGGCATCGCCTTCCCACCGCACTAGGGTTCTCCTGTGTTCCTCATACAGGTTCCTCTCCAATAAAACGAACTCTGAAGCTATTTCTAGCCTTCAGCCACAACTATGGACCCTTCAAAGGTTTCATGAAGGTCTCGCTGGACTGGCAGCCTTTTGAAAAAAAGTTTCTCTCAGAGCCCAAAGATAGCCAAAAGTTAACCAGCCCGAGCCATAGTGAGCAAACCGCCAGGAAAGGCCAACTGAGTCTAAGAACACAGACCCTGCCTTAACATTTGCAAGGCCAGGGATCATTACCCTATATTTGAAATTTACAAGGAATCTATCAAGTTAACAAGTAAAATGAATTTTATTCTACCTTGAGAAATATACCTGCAAAATAACCCGAAAGGCAGGTTTGAATGCAGAACTCACAGATACCTGGGAGTTCTTCCATCCAGAATGACAGTCTGGAGAGGGTCAGACCTGAATCTTGGCCTGTACATCTCCACTCCTTTTGCTTCCTGTGCCCAGCTCTGTTCAACAAGAGGGTTTTGCTACAGGTGTGAACACTCCAGCCCACTCCACCAAGCTCTCTCCACCCCTTCCAAGGGCCACCCTTTAGCTGCTCCTTGGGCCCAAGAGTGCAGGTACCAGTTACTTGGTCTGGTATTGAAAAGAGGATTCTGAAAAGAGGCCAGCCCAAGGTCTGGAATTTCGCGCGGAAATTTTCATCTGAAAATACCAGAGTCTGAGTCCCAGGGACATAGTCCAGAGTAGAAAGGCTCTCTAGATTTTTCACCCCATGGAGAGGAGTTAGATTGCTGCCTTCTGAAATGCAAGGCCAGGGCAGGCTTTTCTTGCCTGGGTCTACAGCAATACTTAGCCCCTACGAAGTTTATTTCAGAGATCAATTCCCAGGAATCTATTTAACATTCTCAATAGTAAATGATCCCGGATTGCCATACACTTAAATAAATTTGAAGAGCAGATCATTTGACCAACACTTTTTGTGATTTAACTATATAAACCCAAAAGAGTCCAGCACTGTCTAATAATGCGTTCTATGATGATAGACTTGTTCTAGATCTGGTGCTGGGAATGTAGCTCAGTGGTAGAGCTCCAAGCATGGAGGCCATGGATTCTATTCCCTACATTGCAAAAAGAAAAGAAAAGAAAAAAATTTCTATGGGCTTGTTGTCCAAGAGGGTGGTCATTTGTGGCTGTGTAGCCCTTGAAATGTAAGAAGTGTGTTTTTCATACTATTTCATATTAATTAATGTAAATTTGAGTTTAAGTGTCTGGTGGCTGCCCTGTTGGTGATGCACCAGGTCTGGACACTACAATAAATAGTGGGAGATTATCACCATTATTAAGTAGCTTTTAAACATATATATAGTCCTAGAGGGCAAAATGGTAACCTGTATTAAGATGGGTAAAAATTCACATTTCTCTTGAATTTATTAGAAGAATTATTATTCCCTAACATAATTATTGATGATCATCATCACCTGTTTTTTTATAAAGTAAAAACTTACATAGAAATAGGGAATTTTTTAATCACCATATAGCTATAGATTGGCATGTGAACTTCAAGCATGAATACTTTAAAGCCAATACTTGAAGTAATAATGTACTTGTCTTAATTTTGAAATGTGTTTACCACAACTAACATCAATTTAATACATGTCTTCTTTTTGCTTCCCTAAAGTCAAGAAAGTTATATAAAGTACAGAATTATGAGAAAAATAGATTTCACAAGTTAATCCAAGGAGAAATATGAAAGAAATGTTTTTATTTTACGGATAGTATCAGTTGTTCTTGCACAAAGATCAAAACGTCTTTGAAAATAAAGATCATTAGAGATCACAAATAGGATATTAAAGCTGAACAGGGCCTTCAAAGTAACAATATTATAGTCCTTGGAAGGCACAGTTATTATTTTGTATCATCACGGATTCATGAGGATATGACAAGCAGTCCTTTCCACTTCTAAAGATCTCAGAGGATGACACTATCTGAAACTTCCTATCTCCTACCCTTCAGTCACACAGAACCTAAGCTTGCATTAAGCTACCCCATCCCTGACAGCTTTTTGCCAGACAGGTCTGTCTACTGCTGATCCCCCTCAGGCCTTAAGAACATCACACTAGTTGAAGTTATAGGACTTCATAGGTCCATTCAAAGTCCCTACTATGTTTGTGGTTGTGCCACTTTAGAAAGTCCTATAGAAACTAAGGAACTGCTTGTTAACCATACTTATGTGCACTTAGCGCCGGAAAACACTATTGCATCAACTGTTGCTTTAAGGATGGTAGATAGACCACATTCCAGAGCGGCTATGCTGCGAATCCTGTCTTGCCATGTTATGTGCAGCTTGTAGGTGATCCCAGAGAAACACTCAGAGATATTTGCTCTTCTCAATAGATAAACTGTATTAACTGTGTGTATAGATGTATGTGTGTAAATATATATATATATATAAAATAAATATGTGCATATGTGTTTAAACATGTGATTTTGTATATATATGTATATATACATATATGTATATATATGCATATATATGTGTATATATATATATATATATATATATATATATATATATATAAAATGAACATGTGTATCCATATTTATTATTAACAATTTATTTTATATGCCTGTCTTCCTTCTCTACCGGACAGTGAGCTTGTGGACTCCCTTTTTAAATCATTGTCTCCCAGTTTTCATCACCCCCTATTATGTTACTCTAGACTCTAGATAAATTATTGAGACTAATGGTTTTTTTTTTTTTCTTTGTTCTAGAGATTAATCTCAGGGATGCTCTGCCACTGAGGTATATCCTCAGCCCTTCTTTTCTTTTCATTGTGAGCAAGGTCTTGCTAACTGGCACAGGCTGTCCTCAAACTTGTCATTCTTCTGCCTCAGCCTCCTGGGTTGCTAGGATAACAGGCAGTGTTGTCATACCTGGCTAGGTAAACTTTATGGCTTGTTCAAACCCAAACGTAGCTTCCCTTTTTTTTTCTTTACATTTTACATCATTATCCTCCCCCATTACAATATCAGTTCTATGATACCCTTATTTAATTTTTACGGCATCCACTGTTAGTTAATGCAAAAAAAAAAAAGCCATTCTAAAACTTTTTGTCTTTCGGGGCTAAATAATCACTTTCTAACCTCCTTTGCAACTATTGGTGGGAAAAAACCTACTTCTGCCCAAAAGAGACCATCCAGTGTAGTAGATACAAAACACATATGGGTATATAAACTTAAAGTAATTGAAATTAAACTAAAAATTGCACTTCATCATCATTCTAATCACAGCTCAAGTGCTCACTGACTGCATGAGGCTGGAGGATATTATTTTGGACAGCACAGACTTTAGAATACAACATTACAAAAGCATCTATTATGTGTGTGTGTTAAAAAGAAACTAATAGCTCTCTCTCTCTCTTCTACAATTTTTATTCTTCTTGCTTTGGATATGGTCCTATGAGAACATGACACCTAGAACTGAAGTAGGTATTTTGTGGTCACAAGGCAAAAGCCTAAAGGAAAATTTCAAAATAATAGGAGAAATGAAAGATAAAAACACTTGGTTCACTGAAGCTGTAAGTGAACTGCCAATCAAGGTTCTGAGCTTCTTTTAATCAACAGTAAATACTCTGTGTTTGTAGTCACTGTTATCATAGTTTTCTAACACTTGAAGCAGTACTTGGCACTTAGAAGTAACTCAAAAGCATTTGTTGATTCACATAGCTTAAATCTTACTCATTTCTATGCTTGAAACAACTAACAAAATTCCTATATTAGCTAACAATTTTTCTTGAACTATGTATTTTGGATAACCAGGCATAAACTCCCAGCTAAAGTGAACTTGAAATGGTTGACTGAAATTCCATCTTCTCTGATCAGATGGAACTGTATCATATCATGATCAAATTAGCAACTGGAAAGAACAGCAATTTTTAGCACTTCAAATGTCTTAGTGATACCTCTAATAAGCCCTGAGAATAAACAGACATGCTCTGTTTATTTTTGTATCATTTAATGTTAATCTCTTAATTATGACAGCTGTAGCTTACTTTTTAGTCATTACGTAGCATATGCTAGAATGTGCCCTTGGTCATTACACAGGACCCAGATAGAATCAGCAGTACTATCTCAAATATCCCCCCAGTCTCATTAGACAATGTTGACTCCTATTCTGGCTTCCTAGTTCTGAGAAATAGTGGCCTTTGACAAGTCACCAAGTCTCATCTTTGGAAATAAGAGTTTGAACTGGAAGTAGTTTTAATGTGCTATGATTTTGTCCTGTTGAACCATAAATTCTTCTTTTG